AAAAAACTACGTCCACCTAAAGCACCAGGCTCAGATGGTATCACCAATAAGGTGACCAAACTCCTCCCTACTAGCATCCTTCAGATACTAGTATTAATTTACCACGCGGCTATAACCGAAGGCTTCTTCCCGTCAGGGTGGAAGGAAGCTGACGTCATAGGGTTCCTCAAACCCACTAAACGCGCCACTCTCCCAACCTCTTATCGTCCAATAAGGGTCCGTTCACACAGACCGGCTCGGAGAGGAGAGCAGATTTTTATCACGTTGGAAACAGTGTTTTGAGTGATTGTAGTAAAGTTTATTTTTGCATTTGCACCTTTTTTGTCATTAAAAATGCCTGAACGCGCTTCGTGTGAAGTAATAAAAGGAGCCGACCGGCTCCGCTTGCGTGCTCTTTCTCGCTCGCGCAGCCGATGGGCTCCGATTGCGTGCTCTTTCTCTATCGCGTAGCCGATCGGCTCCGATTGCGTGTACGCTGCGGCCGCGCCGACCGCCATTTTGATAGCAACATTTGAACGTAATAGTTGTGCGTACTTGTACGAAAAGATGAATGATGAAAAATTAATAATACTCGTGTCAAAATATGAGTGTTTATTTGACATAACCAAGCCATCATATAGCGATCGGATAATGAAAGACAATGCATGGGAGGAAATTAGCAAATGTCTCGGAATAAGTGGTAAGTAAGGTTTTCATTGTTTTACACCTACCCCCAGATACTCAAACGAATTTTAAAGCAAGGGCTTCTTAAACTCGTGCTGCGACGTGTTAGATTCAAAGTCAAAATAGGAATAACATGAGTTTAAATGCGCCCTTACTTTAAAAACTCGTTTGAGTATCTGATCGTTAGAATATACTTATGTAGTAGACAATTTTTATTAAATATAACTTAAGAAACTCGCGTAGCCACTTGATCTTGCCAATCTAAAGCACCACTTGATGAAAAATAATCCTTAAATTTATTCCTTGTGGTTAGAACTGCGTCGCTATTAGAACTGTTTTCATTATTATTGTCTGTTATTGCTGTTAATAAATTTATATTGCTGTGAAATTCATTCTCTTGTCCTGGCGTCCGATTTTCTATTAAAAAATTATGTAAACATGTAGTTGCTAATATAATTAAATCACAGTACTTCGGCTGAATTTTCATTCGTTTTTGATAAATTTCAAATCTTTGAGTTAGCATTCCAAATGCACATTCTACGACTTTTCTTGCCCTGCTTAAACGCAGACTAAATACTTTTTTTGATAATTCTGTTCTTGCTTGTTCTCTTGGATACGGCCGCAATATATTATTGCTCAAAGGAAAATGCCTCGTCTCCTATAAAAACATGTGGTAACTTTCAGTGGTACTAGGTAGAGGTTTATTTGGGGGCAGCTTTAACTTATTGGTGTTGAGTTTTTTCCAAAATTTTGAATTCTGTAAAATTCCGCCGTCGCTATTTTTACCATATGATCCGACATCAACAATTAAAAAACTGTATTTCGCGTCGACCACAGCTAGTAACACTGTACTGAAAAAGTTTTTATAATTATAGTATAAGCTTCCACTATTATCTGGTGCCTGTATATTGACAGCTTTCCGTCTATAGCGCCCAAACAGTTAGGAAAATTCCAAATAAAAGAAATCACGTGAAACCTTTTCCCACATTTCTTCATCTGGCATCTGCATAACTATGGGCATCAAAACATCACAAATTACTCTGATTGTCTCATGAATAATTGAATGAACTGTAGAAATTCCCATTCGAAAATTAAATGACAAGTTTTTGAAACTGCAACCAGTGATGAGGAATCTGTAAAAAAATAAAAAAAAACACACAAAATAGAAATATAAGACTGCCGTACCAAAACGAACTATAAAATAAAAAAGAGTTATGTTATTAATTTTTTCATTTCTGTTCTTTCCAGTGACGCAGTGCCAGGATCGTTGGAAGAAACTGCGAGAAACTTCAGAAAAGCCTATTATAACCGAAAAGGCAAGAGTGGCGATGGTGCAACTACGTCCAAATTGATAAAATTTGAAAAAGAACTTTCTTTTATAATACCATTTTTTCGCAATCGAAACCAAATATCTAATGTAACATTATCATCGGATGATTCAGAGCCTGGCACACCAATACCACCACCATCGACATCATCTAAACGTTCTGACCATTCTGAAGTTGAATCGCTTGCAAGTACTTCTGGCTCGAAAAAGAGACCACGCTTAAGCAAAGATGTTGCTACGGTTTTCGAAGAGTATCTTGAAGAAAAAAGAAATACTACACCCCGTGACAAGGCATTACGTAATTTTTTTTTTGTCTATGTCAGATACAGTGGAAACATTCCCAAAAGAAGTCCAAGCACGAATTAAAAGGCGCGTGTTTGTTTAACATTGTTAATGAAGCTGAATTAAGTCTGTATGAAAATAGTACAGATTTGAATTATTCTTTGTCTATAAATTCACCGCCATCGACTAATCAATCTACTTACCTAGTGTCAAAAGAAACCTATATTTCTCAAAACTATCCACATCCGACTACTGACGCGTACAATACCAGCACTCAAACTACAAAATAATAAACAATCAAAAACAATAATAATTATAAAATAATAATTAAACACACACAAATCTGTACTATTTAATTACATTTCATTAACGTAAATAATGCTTAATAAATGGAGGGCTGTGATTTTGTGATCATTTAGATGTTTGTGTTATTTAACATGATTAGTATAAGTAATTTAATTTCATTAACGTAAACAATGCTTAATAAATGGAGGGCTGTGATTTTGTGATCTAAATAACATGATTAGTATAAATAATGTTTTTTATTTACCTTAAAGTTACCGTTAACCTTTCTTCGGCTTCTGTAATGGTGCAACGATAATTTGTAGTCTTTTTGTTATATGTACTCTTAACAAATCTGTCACTTTCAAAAATTGCCAATATTCCATACGATAATACTCATAAAATTTTAGGCTATCTCTCTTCAATTCCTCGAAAATTGTGTGAAACTCCCATGGATTAGTCTGTTTTTCCAAATATGTTTTACCCATATTTGTTTCCGCTTGCGCTTACGTTTCCTATGTTCTATTTCAAGTAATCTTGCTAACAAATATATTTCTTCGTCGGAGCTATCTAAATCCATGTTTCGAAAAGCACACGTTACGTGCACACCGAAAACTAGTAAACTTAGACTGCGCGGAATACTGGCACTGCCTTTGTAGTGTATCACCCGACTCCGAGCGCAAATCCGACCGGCTCCGAGCACATCCAACCGCACCCGCTTTCAGTATCTTTCCACGCGGTCTATGAACCGATAGTTGGCTTCTTCCCGTCGGCCAATTCCAAGGAAGCGACCCGGTCTAGGGTTCCTCAAACCCAAAAAAGCAGGCCGATGCTCTCCGAGCCGGTCTGTGTGAACGGACCCTAAGTCTTCTCGAAACATTTGGGAAGATCTTTGAAAGACTAATATTAGCCTGCTTAAGATCCCTTATGGACACCAAAGGGCTCCACATCCCAGAGCAGTTTGGATTCAGAGCGAAACATTCATGTACCCACCAAGTACACCGCATCACGGAGCACATTCTAAGCAAACGCCAACGCGAACTCAACACCGGAGCACTCTTCCTGGATGTGGCAAAGGCATTCGATAAAGTCTTGCACAACGGGCTCGTATACAAGTTATACGGGTACGGAGTGCCCGACCGTCTCGTATGCATAATACGAGACTTATAATAAAATCCCACAGTCGATGTTAAGTCTGCCACTTGATGAATTTAAACGAAAAATTAGAAGTACACTTATGGCTAAAGCCTATTATACTATTGCCGAATATCTTGACGACGCCAATGTGTGGGGTTAATACTGTTGATACTCACGTAGGCTAAAACAAGACCTGTACCTGTACTATTATATTGTAAACTGATTTTTTAAAAAAGAGCAACTGTTGAGTTTCTTGCCGGTTTCTTCTCAACAGAAACTGCTTTCCGAACCGGTGGTAACTTACGAACGTGTTAATTTCTTGTAAAATTTTGACGTTTCATAAGAACGCGCAAGCGTCTATGTGAATAAAGATATTTTTATTATTATTATTATTATTATTATAATGCCATGCATGCCGGGGCTATACACATCAATTTGCCTATATTGCGACCTATAATGGTCCCGGGCAGGCGGCATTACATTAGCAGTTGTACAATGCTCTCAATAATTAAATGAGAGGGCTGGTTTCTGAATGGAGTCGCCCAATGTCGTCCTATGTCGATGGAGTCGGATTTGAACCAATCGAAGACTTCTTCATGGAAGATGCGCTCTATGTCGATCGAGGTTTGTACATGGAAGAAGTGGTCAAGAAGTGGAATTTAGCCAAAATTATTAAAGAAGAGTTGGGACTAACTAATAGTGTGTGGCATTAGCAGAAGCAAACGATCTTGTTTACGCGCACAAATACACCTATGCGACTATAAAAAACAACAAATAAGTCATTTGGATCTTAGTGTTGCACAAAAAGACAATGCAAACAAAATTCAAAAAAATTAGGGACACATGGAATTTTTTTTTGAAAACATTAAATTTTAGGCAGCCTACGCACTGGCGACCATAGACGCGGCCAGGCCGCCGCGGCCATGGTCGCCGGTGCGTAGGCAAGCGCGACATGCGGACGGCCGAAAAATTGGAGTCGGCTTCCAAGGGTGTGTCAAGATGGACGTGCAGAAGATAATCACGCGAACTGTGCTTGTGTATTTACTACGAAAACGAAAGCTGAAGATTTCACGTAAAAGACAGTTTTGGGTGCATCCATTACTTTGCGAGAGAAAGACTAAAGGATTATATTATACTTATTTTTTGGATTTAAAAATGTATGAGAAGAGATTCTTTAATTACATGAGAATGTTAACGAATACTTTTACTGGATACAATAAAACCAAAAATTACTGGAACTGGTAACAACTATCGGAAATGCATTACAGCAGAAGAAAAATTAGTGATAACAATAAGGTAAGCTTTTTCTTTTTTAAAAACAGAATGTTTAAAAAATACGTGATTTATTTTAAAGGGTGTTTCGGAATGGAGTATTGTGTACAGGGAAAATAAAAATAATGTGATAGGGCCTTTTTTTTTACTTAAACTGCTTAATGGATTTTTTTGTAAATTTGAATTATACAAGACTCGATTCTGATTCACTACTATTGTTTTTCACAACCTGTATAATTCATTGACCATGGTTTTGCCACTTTAAATAATTTATGAACAATGCTACTTTACGACTTTGAAAGGAGAGGAAAAGGGCTTGCTTATAACTATGTTTTTAAATAATAAAAAACTGAAGTAGATAATCAAATTATTTGTATTTTCGTACCTTAAAAAATGGCAATTGTGAACAATTAATCATTCAAATTGGGAAATAGGTCTATCATTTCTGAATTTTGGGAAATATCAGAATAATGAGTATGAGTATCGCTGTAATTTGAATCATCTGATATCCTGTTGGTAGTAGAATAACCTGAATAATTCGGTCGATGCGGGTCATATTCTTGGTCGTAAAGAGTATTGAAATTTCTTGAATAGTTTATGCGCGCTGTTGGTTCATAGTTCGGTTGATATTTTTCTATAATTTCCATGATTTGTATTTTCGCTTTGGTCTTCATTACAGCAGGGATATTTTGAAATCTGTCGAGGAGGGATAAAAGAAACAGTCTGTCATAATTTGAATCATTCTGTGTATCTGTCTTCTCTATTGTCGCTATGGTCTATGGTTGGCTACTGGATGTTCTTTATCTCATATAAGTTATGAATACCGTATAGGGCTTCCTACAGCATCGGAAATAGTATTTGATGTTTGTGAAGCAATATGGGAGATATTAAAACCAATTGTGATGCCACAATTGACCAGAGATAAGTGAATTCAAACGGCTGAAGGTTTTAAAAAATACGCCCAATTTCCTAATTGCATCGGAGCCATCGACGGCAAGCACATTAGAGTTATCAAACCACAACATTCAGGATCTCTTTATTACAATTACAAGAATTATTTTTCAATCGTGTTACTTGCAATATGTGATGCAAATTATAAATTTCTTTACGTAGACATTGGAGCATACGGCAAATGCAGTGATTCGTCAATTTACAAAGACTCTGTATTTTATCATAGGCTTTTAAATAATGATCTCGATATTCCGAGCAATAACCCCATCAAAGAAAATGGCCAACCAATGCCGTTCATTTTAGTGGGTGATGAGGCGTTTGTCACTATCGGAACATATGATGCGACCGTATGCTGGGAGAAACTTGAATAATGTAAAGACTAATTTTAATTATCGACTATCCCGTGCCCGCCGCTATATTGAATGTACATTTGGAATATTAGCCAGTAAATGGCAGATTCTTCACCGACACCTAAACGTCAAGAAAGAATTTGCAGTTGTGATTATAAAAGCTCAATGTGTGCTTCATAATTATGTGCGAGAAAGAGACGGATATGATTTCAAGGACACGTTGACTGTACCAGAGGCTTCATTATAAATACCTGCAAGTTTACCTAATAGAGCAAATAGAACATCAACCGAATATCGAGATATATTCGCAAACTACTTCAGTACCGATGGTCGCTTGCCCTGGCACAAATACGTAGCCTGGCCCCCTAGATCTCCAGATCTGACCCCTTGCGACTGTTCAAAGTGTTCCTTTTATTTGATACATCGCATTTACTCAAAGGAGTAAGAGATATATTGCTCAACAAAAATGTTAATTTCTTACAAAACGGACACGAGAAATGGGCAAAATGGGAACACTTAAAAACGGTACTGGCAATTTATGTTGGTGATGATGAAATTCGTCTTGTAAATAAATTTACAGACAGTCATATTAATATAAACAAAATAAAAAAATTACAGTCAAATTAGCTGCCCAGGCCATATTTAGCCAAAGTTTCTGAAACGTCGCATTGATGTTATGGCTGAAGATATAAAAAAACAAGGAGGATCAAAGGCAATTGATAGAATGACAGCAATTTCTGATTTTTTTGCGAAACACGAACTGTCAAAAGTTAATGGGCTTGGTCAGAGGAAAAACATCGTAATGTTATTGCTATTCACTGTTTATACACCGTTAAGCCCTAGTGGCCAATACACTTTCAAATTAATTCAACGCTCTCTTAACATTATGCATTAAAATTGTAAATTATTTAAAAAAAAGTGATTTGAATAATAACATAAGACACTGTTATTTTATACTGAGGTGCGCTGGCTCACAAAAGGAAATTATGCTCACTAGGTAATGAGCTTCGGGTTGAAGAAGTTATTTAGTTCTTGGATAGTCAAAAATAAAGTGAATTTTAAATACTTTCATATTTTTTTAATATTTGTGTAGTTATATTGATATATATATATTTTTTTTTATAATGTCGGATAATGAGACTTACTATTCAGATATTATATCGGACAGCGAATGTTTTTATTCAGATAACAATTCTGATATTTCATTTTTATCTTGCGAGGAATCAATAAGCGATAATATTCCAACGATGAAAAATCATTTAGACAATATATTTTGTGCTGGCAATAAAATATTAAACATCTGTCACATTAACGCCCAAAGTATACCGAGTCACTTTGCTGAACTGGAAGCGTCATTTTCGTCTGTTAATATACATGCAATTTTAGTATCTGAAAGCTGGCTGAAACCGACTCTAAATTCTGCGGCATTTCCATTGACTGACTTTGTTCTTATCCGTAACGATCGTGTTGGTAAAGGGGGAGGAGGAGTCGCCATTTATCTTCGTAAATCAATAGGGTACAAAATTGCCATGGCTTCCTCTTCGCATTATTCCGCTTCAGCAGAATTTTTGTTCCTAGAACTGGATATGAAAGGCAAAAGGATGATTCTCGGAGTAGTGTACTGTCCCCCTTCTACTGATTATTTCGCCAATTTAGAAACGGCTCTCGAAAATATTTTATCTGGGCAGAAACACTGCGTAGTCATGGGTGATCTAAACACGGACTTGTTAAAGAATTCTTCACGTTCTCTACGGCTTCGAACAATAATAGAGTCTGTAGATCTCACAATTTTACCTTTAAAGGCAACGCATCACAATATTGACGCTAATGACTCTCTTATTGATCTAATTTTAACGAATTCCCCTGACCGTGTGGAAACGCATGGTCAACTTTCCGCTTCCGGATTCTCTCGCCACGACCTAATTTATGCTTCATTTAAGCTAAAACCTCCTAAAAATACTCGTTTATGTATATCACCGCAACTTCAGGAAATTAAACATGGATAGGCTCCTTAAAGATGCGACTAATACAGATTTTACTCCCTTGGCAATGGCTCCCACGGCTAATGAGAAGGTGTCTGTCCTCAATAATATAGTTCATAGATTGTATGATGTCCATGCTCCGATCATTAAAGCAAAATTGAAAAGACCACCAGCTCCTTGGATGACGGATAACGTGCGTAAGGCAATGGCTAGGCGTAATAGGGCTTTCTCACGATTTAAACTTAATCGTACCGAAGAAAACTGGACAGCTTTTAAACAAGTCAGAAATAGGTGCAATCAGATGGTGCGTGCTGCTAAACGCCGATATATCCACAATCATATAAATAACTCTTCACCAGCGGATGTGTGGAAACTTCTAAACTCTTTCGGTGTCGCTAATTCAACTAGTATTTATGGTTCTTCCATTTCTCCTGACGTTATTAATAAACATTTCACTTCTATTTCTCAAATGGATCCTTTAATTCGAGCGCAAACTATAGCTTATATAACTTCCACTCCACCTCCACACATTCAAGATTTTCATTTCGCTCCAGTTAATGACGATGAGACTAAGAAAACTATCCTAGCAATTAAATCTAGGGCTGTGGGCTGTGATGATATGAGCAGAGCTATGATAGTCAACTTGATAGATTTCCTTGTTCCTGCAAAGGGAAAAGTTTATAATATGAGTTATACTCATATTATAAACTTTTCCCTTGAGTGAGGACAGTACCCATTCCTTTGTAAAAAAGCATATGTACGACCACTTCCTAAAGTTCCCAATCCAGTACTTCCCATCACTTCCGCCCTATTTCAATTTTACCCTTCCTTTCGAAAGTTTTAGAAGCCTGTGTTTATAAGCAAATCTCTTCGTTCATTCATAAAAATAGCCTACTGAGTGATTATCAGTCTGGGTTTCGTTCGGAACATAGCACCACCACTACCTTACTTAAAATTACCGATGACATAAGATTGGGTATGGATGGTAAGAAAGTGACAGTGATGGTGCTTGTCGACTTCTCTAACGCTTTTAACACAGTTGATTACGATATCCTACTCTGTGTACTTGCTCAATTAAGATTCGCTCCCACAGCGATGGATTGGTTCTCATCTTATCTCCGCGGGCGTCAGCAGTCCGTCTTTATAGGCCAAGAGTCTTCACAATGGGCTGATATTGAGTCTGGCGTACCACAAGGCGGTATACTCTCCCCATATTATTCTCGGTCTTTATAAACTCGATCACAACATATATTGATTGTCCATACCATCTGTATGCGGATGACTTGCAACTGTACCTACAGGCTGATATCGGTGACCTCCATAACGCGTTCATCAGACTAAATTCCAACTTGAGTATTATTCACGATTGGTCAACGCAATATGGAATATCTGTTAACCCCAATAAGTGCCAAGCAATGCTCGTTGGAAGCTCTAGAATGCTGTCGAAAATTGATTTCCCTAGTCTGCCTGTTATCCAATACAATAACAAACCTATTCCGTTGGCAAATTCCATAAAAAATCTTGGACTCTTTATGGACAGCACTATAAACTGGGGAGTACAAGTCACTGAAATTAGCCGTAAAGGCCTTTGTAACCATGCGAACTCTATATCGTCTAAAGAATTTTCTCCCTTTCAAGATCAAACTCTTACTTGTTCAGTCACTTATTCTACCAATAATTGACTATGCAGATGTTTGTTACCCAGACTTGAACAAAGACCTTCTCAACAAGCTTGAACGCCTATCCAACAACTGTATCAGATACGTTTTCGGCATTCGAAAATTTGATCACATTACTCCCTATCGCACTAGACTTAAATGGCTTACAGTTAAACAAAGACGGAATTCAAGAATTCTCTTCATGCTTTTTTCGATTTTAAATGACCCAGCTTCACCATCCTATCTCAAAGATAAATTTAAATACCTCTATCAAAACAACGAATGAAACCTCCGTTCTTCATCTAACCTCAAAATTTCTATTCCTCCACATAATTCTAGTTTTTTCGGTGACTCTTTCGCCGTTCAGGCTGCATTACTTTGGAACTCCCTGCCTGAAGACATACGTAGTGCCCCTTGCAAGGCCTCATTCAAACGCAAAGTCCGCGAATTTTACTTAACATCTGAATGTTAAATTTCATCATTATTTCAATATCGTTTATATGTTTGTATTTATGTATATATGTTAGTGTTTTTATATACAGCGTGTCGTTACCATTGCGACAATAAATGAACACATGTCTAACTCTACTTACCAATAATCATAAAAAAATATTAACGTTAAACAAAATCCATAATTAAAAAAAAATATTCTTCAAACAAACTAAGTAAAAAAGAAACAAAATTTGTAACATCCTATACAACTCGCGCCACAGCGTCGTATTACAAGCCTCTCCTTCTAACAGTATGTTTTGTCTCTTTTAAATTCATT